AAAAAAAAAAAAAAAAAAAAAGAAAGAAAAATCTTTTCTCGATATCCTAATTATCATTTTCATCAATTTTTGTCCTGTCTTTAACCCTACTTCCTATGTGTGTTCAAGCTACTTTCTCCTCCATATAACGATTCATTCGATCAAATGTGTTAATGATGATGGTTCCTAAGGCAAAAACATGATGCAGTAACTCATAAAAGAAGCATATTAACCTTGTTAAGCGTATATAAGTTTGCATAGCAGTAATAAGCATAATAAGAAAATGCAGGGTTGAACTCGTTTGTCCACTCTGATGGAGTTGGCATGTGCTTTGTCGGTCTCCTTTCGGGTTTACTTTCATCATCGACTATGTCGAAACCTACAACCTGCAGTGCATAAAAAATTAATTAGCTGAAAATAGGAAACAGTGAGCCACATAATGGGAAGAAACAAATATGGTTTTACTACTGTGGGTTTTCTGGCTCGGAGTTGCCTTACATGGATCATGAATTGGATTTAACAAATGATAAATCAGATTGTATACATAGAGTTAGCTGGCTCTTAAATCTATCACGAATCCAAAAAGAAAGGAAACAAATCAAAATTGTTTTTCATTTCCAAGGCCACAAAGTTACAAAAGAAGTTGAAATGACAACTGAACTTTGTCCAACCCAAAGGAAGATCACATAATTATGAGGAAAGATAAGGTGCTTACTATGGAAATAGCTTACAAAAATTATTAGCGAGGCATACACCATACAGGACACAACAATACCAAAAGCATAAAAGATATTGATAGAGATTGGGGAAGTAAATCATGGGAAGGAAAGCAAGAACGGAATAAAATAGGTAATGCAATATTGGAAGCACAAATCACGGAATTGGCTGGAAGCACAAATCACGGAATTGGCTGGAATCATCTGATCCTACCTGGCATGGATGGCTATCAATCGTTATCTTATTTGTTCTTTATTGCTTATTACCTTAAACAAATAACATGCTTATAAAAGGGTTGTGAGGGAGTGAAGATTAGTATTGAGAGAAATAATAGTTTGTCGGCTTTTTAGCTTAGGCGGGATTATTTCCCGAGGAGAACTTCATGTTCTTGGAGAAACTTGTGTTCTTTTGCTTCGTTTTTTTATATGAAAATATACAGTTTCTTTTACATTGGCCCTTTACTCCTATCAATTGGTCCGACCTGCTATTATGAATGACGCATATCGAATCTCACGTTGAAGCCATGAAGAAGGGTCAGGAGGTCCTCGAGTGCTGACTAATAATGTTGAGGAGGCCATCACCAAACTTATAGAGTTGGTCACACGATTTTATCAATCAAGCCGATCATTCTAGCCACATTCCAGGTGAATCATGCCAACGTCTTGTCTACTGTGGATCCACATCCTCAGTTATTGTGAATCGTCATACAGAAATTTGAAGATTGGAGAATGGCAACAACTCCACTCTGTCCACTTCCATACCACCAGTTTTGGTGCAATCGACTTCACGACGGTGTTGCGAATCGAGGTTTTACCCCCTTGCACGATAGTCGAGAGCGGAGACAACCACACGAGACAAAGCGGAGGCACAAAAAGGCACGCACATGGCCATGAAGACGTACGAGAGTGCAATGCCCACGAGTGCAAGGCGGTCAACACAGGCGCACACGGTGATGGCAACACAAGCCAACGCGCACGAGGTGGCGCGAGTGGAAACTGCGAGGGATCGAGGCTCGAGTGCAGCAAGCCATGCAGCGACCGTGCAAAACCGCACAGAGGATGCGCGAGACCGCGCGCATCAGCAGGCGACTACACCGACGACAACTGGGTATGCGGGGATTAGAGGCGGACGTACATCTATGCCAGGGGGGCCATGGTCCCCCAAACTTTTTTTTCCCCTTAATACTATATATATGTATTATATAATATTATGTATACTGAATTGTTTTGCCCCCTTCAAATATAAACTAAAGCAAATAATTAATAATATATTAAATACAAAAAGTCAAACAGAATCATTCTTTATTTGGAGGCGCACGATTCAATTTCTTATCTATCATTATATTAAAAAAATAACCTTTTTATGATTTCCCGCCAAAATCATTATTTTCCCTCCAAAATCATTAAATACCCGCCAAAATCATTATTTTCTCTCTAAAATCATTAAATACCCGCTAAAATCATTATTTTCCCTTTAAAATCATTAAATAAACATTGATATAGTGTTAAAAAAAAAAAACCGCGCACTGATTTTTGTGATGTTTTTCTTTTTCCTATTTTTTTAGGTTAACAAAATAATACATGCTGTGGTTTTTGTGATGTTTCCCATTTTCCTATTTTTTAGGTTAACAAAATAATAGATATTGTGTTACATTTGTTTCCCTTTTCCTTTAACTCTTTTTAGGCAGAAATTTAAAAACATTATATCTGATTTAATGTGTAGATATTTGATTTTTTTTCCTGTTTTTTGACCGAAGGTGTTTATTAAATTAGCCTTATAATATTTAGTTATTTTAAACAAATTGTTTAGACATTTGTTTTTTTTACTTATTCGTCTATATAACACATATACACATATACATAATTGATGTTAAATTTAATTATTTGTAGACATGTTTTTTTTACAAAATAGTTTAGAAATTTTTTTTACAAAATATTAAATTCAAATGTTTTTAGATATGTTTTCTTTCTAAAATTGTTTAGAAAAGTTGTAGGTGACTTCATATCTTTTAAAAATAATATAGAAAATTTGAATACTTTCACATATACTAATATAATATTTTAAGTGTTTTTAATATTAAACATACAAATTTTATATTCTATTATACAAAATAATATAAAATTTATATTTTCTTATACAAAATAATTTTACATTGTCTGACCCCGACACTTTAATATATAATTATTATTTTTTTCTTCCTCTTTTTAAATAGGATCAATAGTAGTTTCCACTTCCGCCATTGAGTGACTCAAACTCGAGGTATATTTATAATATTGTTAATGTAATATTGTTACCGATGCTCGCACGGGGTGCACACTAGTTCTTCTTAATAAGAAGGAAGCAACTAAGCATATATTAATATAATTAATTATTTAATTAATTATTTTTTAAACCATTAAACAACCAATTAAAGTAAATCATATAAAATAAAAGGCAAAGCCGTAGAAGAAGTTTACTTTTCGGCTACAAAAAATTTGAGAGAGCACGACTAGACAGTCTCGACGGACAACCAGCACTGAGCAAACCAGAAAAGAAAAAAAAAACATATCGATTGAGTTTTGAGCATTCATCTTATGAATCTAATCGGATAATTATAATTGTAAGTAATTTTTTTTTATACCTTTATTTATGATTTATGATATTATCTATTTGTTTCATTGAGCCATTTAGAGTTTAATCAAGTTGAATGTATGGCCTTGCTACGAGGTTTCCTCTTCTGCTTGAGCCTCATTTGAAAAAAATTACATGTATTAATTGAAAGGCAATTAAATGACTCGTGGATATTAGGTAGTAATTTTTGGAGGCATCTCACATTGTATACCGGGAATAGTATTTTGGGCATTTTGGCCATCCGTGAAAATGTGATGTAGGTTTTTATTTATGTGCATGTTTGTGTACTTATCTTATCTTAATATTTATTTTTCTTAAATCAGTCTGTTGAGAAATTCTTTGACTAACTTCATTGAAAGAGAAATTGCAAGATCTATTAGTTCCGAGTCAATCATGGATGGGTTTCGTGATTTGAAAGAACGTCGAGCACAATTCAAGTAGAAACAAAATTTGAAGGTATGTATTTTTCATTACAACTATTTTTTTAATTCCAAAATTGCTATTTTATGTTTCGCTGTTAAGAATAGTCATTAAAAAATAAAAAAAAATAAAAAAAAAAAAAAAAAAATTGTCCCCCCCAATTTATTTTTCTAGATCCGCCCCTGGCGGGGATGAAGGGGTTTCACGAGAGCGACGAGGCAAACGACCCGTGCCTGACAGCGCGCGGGGCAAACAGCGCCGGAGACCGCGCCGGAGACCACGCAACTGGAAGCCACAGCGCGAGAGCGTGAGACCGTGGACGGGATGCGTCTGGGCATCGGCCCATCGCCCAAACTCGAGGTCCTCAGACGCGACGCGCACCTACTGGGAAGATACGCAGCAGTCCGAGAGATCCGCACGAGATACTTGGGACGTAAGAATGGTCGGCGTGACTTGAGGAGTAAGATGACCAAGATGCTTCTAGAAGGATTTGATGACCGAGAGTTTCTAGAAGGATTATTAGATAATTATTTAATTATTCCTAGCCTAGGAGTTTTATATTTAGGCAATTCTTAGGAGAGAGATTTAATTAGCTTAGGACTAGCTATTACTTTCTATAGATTATTTCCATAGATTAGAGGTTAAGTTCTCCTAGGATTAGAATTAGTTATTTCTTTAAATACCTTGTCTTATGTTTGAGTTTTGAAATCAATTCAAGTTAATAGAAAAATTGTACGTAAGAACAAATTTCTTGTGTGTTTAACAAAGGTCGACAGTGCGTTGTTTTCACAAACAGTTAAGAAATTGCGTTGTTTTCACAAACAGTTAAGAAGGAAGACCCTAGCGCGCCCTACAACACAACTATCGCGAAGTACTCCGACGCGAGTATTAGCAATCTATCGCTAAGAATCAAGGCGGTTGGCACAGGTTCAAAGCAAAACCAAGTATCGAGATACACAGCCCATTCCCCGTCTGGATCTAAGCACTCTTAATGAAAGATTTTCTTAGTGGTGAGCAGTTCTCTCACATACAATCAAGGCTGAAAAGTTCATGGCAAATGTCTTGTCTTCTCTCCAACGCAAGAGGACTGGAGACATAATTCGCTATTCCAGTCTGCGTGTTCTTTTTTACATGGGTCGTCTAGTTTTTCCGTTTACTCGGAAACTGTTTTTTTCTTTGCAGCCTTGTGGACAAAGCTCTTTTGTGGCAGGCGGCAATGATAGAGATTGGGGAAGTAAATAATTGGCAGAAAACAAGAGTGTAATAAAATAGTAATGTAAATTGGAAGCACAAATCAAGGAATTGGCTGGAAACATGGGATCCTACTTGGCAAGGTAAGATATCAAATCATTATCTTATTTATTCTTTATTATCTATTACCTTAAATAAATAATATGCTCATAAAAGGGTTGTGAGGAAGTGAAGATCAGGTATTGAGAGAAATAAATATTGTTTGTCGGTTTTTTAGCTTGGGCGGGATCATTTCCTGAGGAGAACTTAGAGGGTCATTGGTAGTCAAAACCCCTAAAAATTGATCAATACTGAATATTGGATCTTGAGTTAAAGTGAGTTATTTTGAATAAAGTTGATTGAGTGGGATAAGAGAATTTGTAATTACATAATATTTAAAATGTAATGATTAAAAGTTGATGTGATGGAAAAGTAGGAGAGATGTGATGGAAGTGATAGGTACTTAAAATATGTGGTGAATGAATAATGAATTAAAATTGATATGATATAGGAGAGAGATGACTGATATTATTTAATTGTTTTGATAGGCTTGCTCTGAAAAATGAATACCATTAATCAAATGACTGAAAACCAGACAAAGAAAACTACGAAAGTGATTATAGAAAACTCAGAAATTTAATTACTCGATACCATACCTGCAATAAGAAAATATGTAAGTGAGGATGGGAATTTGGATCCACTGTGACCTCAAAAAGTGGAATGAAGATGTTGTCTAGTATACTCTGGAAGGAAGTAACTGTTCCCATACTCCTGTAAACATTGTATAACTTTGGCAACTGCACAGTTCAAAACTTAATATAAGTCTTCCAAATACAAGTTCAAAACTTAATACAAGTATATCAAATACAAGATCATATGCTTTGAAGCAACTTATGGAACATTCTGCACAAAGAATTGAAAACACAGCAGCACCAATGCTAAAAACAAAGAAACAAAAGAAGGTGAATACATATGAAGAAGTGAAACCAGACACTGTCGTTCAATCACTCATTGGCCTAACAAGTTTGCCTAAAAAAATTGAGACTTGGGGGTCACATACAACCAGTGTTATCAGTAACGGATGACGGAAAATGGCGGCAGGCTGAAATCCCGCCATGGCAGCCTTTTGCGCCACCATAACGCCATCCTCCATAAATTTCTAATGGCGGTTAGGCAGAAATCTGTCAAACCATAGCGCCATAATAACACTGCATACAACACTTGAGAGGCATGATATCAGAGGCATGTTCCTACTGAAATGAAAATCAGTAGCCAAAAAAATAGATACAATTTTGTCTTCCCAATCATTTAACACAATAAAAGATCAGATAATCAATATGGCGATAGGAAATATAGTTAAGTACAGCTTGGAATCTTAACATTTAGCAGGCAAGTGCCAAAGGTCAAAGCTTTAAAATATCAAGCATCAACACGACCCATATTTGGACATCTGCCAAAAAAGGGTCAATACAGTTGGACAAGTTTAGTATACCCAATAAACTATTTAGGAAAACAAATGGAAGACCCAGAGTAGAAAGTGAAAACGAATCCTCAGTCCCTCAATTGGGTATGCAGTAAGAATTCTGAAATAATAAATGTTAACGACGCTACATCAGTTAGTTGGGCATAATGACAAGCGATTTTCTTTAACACAATAATATATATGAAACTTACCTGAATTAACCAAACAGCATTTTCACTATAAATCCTGTTGTTCACAAACCAACTAGCCAGCTGATCCCATTCACTTTGCTTCCTTCCATAAACCGAAATTCGGTACTCAGCCAGCTGAAAGAAGCATAGTGAAACAGAAACACCGGAAGGATAAGTTATTTCATTCTGAAACCAAATTCTATGGACCGAGAATGGCCCTTCTACGGGAAAATAAACCATGTTGGTACATGTAATAAAGCCTAAGAGGACTGCTGTAGCGCACTCTTCATCATCATGGACTAAAGTGATATAACTAAGTTGACATAAACGTACAGCCATCCCTCAGTTGTGGAAAATATCCATAATGCATATTGCAACCATGGTTCTATATCTTGCGTTTATACCTAATCTTAGAAAAATATTGGTCACTTTTTCCATTAACCAAGAAATGGACAAAGATATGATAGCGAATCTCAGAATCACAGATAGCCTCGGGCTAATTTCTGTCTTTATTTTTTTCCCCATCTTTTCACCATAGCATTTTGGTGTCCTATAATTTAAATTGCAAATTGGTCTGGAAAGGAAAATAAGGCCGCCCACATCATAGTCATTTGTGTGACTGAGTAAAGACCAGCAGCCGTTTACTGAGAGCATGGAATTTGCTTCTACTTAGACCAATTCAAGGGTGTGCTTGGTGAAAAGGGCGATAAGCAGTCAAATAGAAGTAACTAATTGTTCAATATCTCTAGATATATTGTCCTTTCATTTTGGAATGCATACTATCTGAAAGTACATCAAGAGCATACGCGAAAATTTTAAAAACAAAAAACGAAATGTGTCTGGATGAATGAGTTACAATACTCTACCAATTGATTTTGATATTAATTGTCTAAATCTAAATATAAGTTTCTCCTGAAAGTGGAACTTTTACTTTTGAAAACAAAAGTGCACAATATAAAGACAGGATTGAGAGTTGAAACAGGGATCAAGGTTATGGAGGCCAGGATTGTTTTCTGAGATTTATTTAGAAAACAGTTCCAGAAAAATAAAAATACAAAAATAAAAGAAAGAACCAAAGAAGAGGCCTGGATGAATCTTACCTGGTATTTACTTGCTTCAAGATCAGACAGAACCTGCTTCGTAACTTCAGCCAGGAAACGCCCTGGTAAAAGTATACAATTCACTCACATTATTCAGAGTCGTATGCAAACAGATGCATGGCTCTAGCCTGCAGCTTTGAGCACTGGGAATAATGTTATAGTCAGGAACAATTTTACTACAGAAGAATCTAAGAATGGGCTAAATTTTGGTGACCATTTGATTTGTTGCATTTATGTATTAATTTATATAATATGACTTTAACAATTATGACTAACTTTTAACTGATGTTTTGGAATATATATCCTAAAAGAGCAACCTGAAATTTGTCGGTAAGGTAAACAGATATCATTGTGCACCATGTGGATCATAACGATGAAGTCACGAAATATTTTCATGAAAATAAAAAAATTACATAATTGTTTTTGAGATGCGGTATTAATAATTAACATAAAAACTTTAATACTTACATCAATAATAGCTTCCAGATACACAACAAACACCATTGACCTTCAAAATACATCTTGAACAGATTTAAAATCCCCATAGATGTAACACAGACAAGAAGGAATAACTTTCCAGTTATAAACTATTTTTAAAGAAGTCGGCACAATAAGATATTGCTAAGTAATTACCATGAAAAGGTCATAATATAACTGGCTGTAGATTATTCCCCATGAAACAAACCTTGAATGAGATTATCCTGCTTCAGAAAGATCTCTCTAAGTCTACTCTGTCCACATGGATTATACTTGAGATTGAATTTGTCAAATCGGTGGAAGGTACTCTTATCGGCATGCACATCCAAGAGATCTACATTTAGATCATATCTGCATTAAGTATTCTCATTAAAAAGACAAATATGGAATATACATATATATACATACATAACCTGACTAGACTATATCAACTGAGTAGCATGGTCACAAACCCTGTCAAGTCCAAGCTGTCAAAGACTTCTTTCAGGGTAAGATACTGTCCATCACGGTAGATCACAACCTGCAGAGAGTAAGGATAGCACAATTTACAGCGTACTGCAACTAGGACAGTATAACTTAAAATGTATGGGCAGCAGATAAGGAAACAATGTGTCGTTTAATACCTCATCTGGTTCTTTTCTCAACTTTGACTTGATGAAACGGAGAAGATGCTTTTGGTTCATACAAGCAGAATGGTGTACATGAGTGTCCACTTTTCTGATATTATAGAAATCTCGATGAGGTGCACTTTTCTGAGCTACAAACTCCCTATCTGCGTTTACCAACAAATGGAGGCGGAATTTCTACAATAAAGTAACTTTTATTACTGATCCAAACAAATAATTAGTAAAAACAGAGAGAAAAACTGGAACCGAAGAGTTCCTACTTCTTCAAGAAATCGTAATCGGTGGTGACATAAAGTGCGAGCATTTCCAATGGACATCACTTTCAGTATATAATGCATATCAGTGAAAAACATTGTAGAACTTGCAACCGGAAAAAGTTCTTCAGTATCTGTTCGAAAAGACAATGAAGAAGAACTTAAGGATGTTCTTTCATTTCTGGGTAAAAAATAAGGAGATGCATATATATCCTTGTTTTTAAGACTACCCCAAAGCTTACCCTTTTCACTCGCATAAACACGTACTACACCTTCTTCCATTCTGAAGAAATGCTGCATGTGTCCATCATAGAAAAAAACGAGATAAATTATATGCTTATATCCAAGAAACACAATGATGGCTTCTGCCAGCAGTGAAGAGAGAAAACTCACAGGAGATGCTTCAACAGGCACAAAATGAAATGGATCATCCTTAATCTCAACTGAACCAGATACTTCTGATGTCCATGGAGCAAAATTTTCCCTAAAAACGTATTTTTCCCTCAATTCTAGACATTCGTGAATCATCTTCAAGACTTCTTGTTCTTCAACACTCACTGAGTCTGATTTCATACTTTGAAGAGCATCAGAAACAGAACCTAGTAACAAAACCATGTCACCAGGGGAAGACAAGCAAAAGATGTTAAGATGCAAAAATGCCAACTAAAACTTTTGCAAACATGGAGGACCAGGAAGATGAAATACCATTAAGTGTAGTTATTGGTGGAAAAATATTGTTTCTGATTATATGATCATTTGCCACAATATGTGTTGAAGCTGTATCTGCTCTACTGTCAGCATGACCATCACTAGATTTTACTTCACTCTCTAATGATTTAGATTCTTGAGCGTGAATACAAACCCCATTTTCAGCTGGTATCGGGGCTTCACTTTGAATTGTTAGATTTACATCCTGCTGAATAGTGAAAACAAATTAGTAGACAACATCTCCTTAACACAATAGGTGACAAGGGAAAAAGGAAAGTGCAGAAAAAAAATAAATAAATCCCTCTGTACGAATATAATAGCCCCTTTTGTCCACCTTCTTTCGTACCACAACCACAACGACAGTCTTTTTCTGTATGTCACATATTGATTCATCTAAAATTGATATAACCTTGTTTAATAAGAAAAGTTTTAACATTTCCATTGGAATTGGTGTAAATAAGGGTATGGTGAGATTGAGTATTCTGTTCATTTTACAGTGCAAGTTAAATAAATTTTATAAATGTGTGGAAATGAAAAATGAGACCACTAAAATGAAATGGAGGGAGTCAATAAGAAAAATGATCAACTTGTGATAGAACTCAGTAAGTCATGGCTTTCCAAGAGACTCAATCCTAGTATGGATTCATGCTACTACCAATGCATGCAAACTACTTGATCTTTTGGCTTAGGCGAAAAGATGTGGTGCAAATGAATATAACCGACTTGTTTCAAGAGATCTATCATTATTTATGACCAGTACGCTACAGTTTCAGTTTACTAGCCGATAAATAACTCATTCAAAACAAAGAGAACCATATAATTTCACAATTTTTTAGAAGTCCGACAATTTCGATAAACCTGTCTGTGACAGTGTGACCTACCATCAAACCTCAGAACAATGCCTTCTTAATGACCTAAAATTATCTTACACTTGTGAAAATCATTTAAAGGTAATAAGTTAATAGCATATTTAAATAAAATTAACAGTCCGAAACTACTAACATTTTGATGCGACAATACATGATTCTCTCTGGCTGAAAGTTCAGCTCCTTCATCATCAGAATCTCCTGTGCTCTCAAATGCATAACCACCTGATGATCTAGGAGTCACAAGCCTACCAACTGATCCTACACGCATAGTGTTACCAGAGTGAATCATGTAATGCTCCTCCCCTGCTTATAGGAAAATGAGTTTAAGCCATCCAACTCCTCCAAAATTCATTAAAGTGCATAATCAACTTAAACTACAAGAATGGGAACTTCAAGAAGTATATCAAAATCAGAGAGTATGTAACATTATCATGAGATTCCTTGATTAATATTTATGATACAGATGCAGCGGTCAGTGTTGTGTCAGGCTATAAGGAGAACAACATACCGTCCCTCTGACCAGTCCGTATTTGAGGTAAATCAGAAGAAATCAATTCATCTTTATCCAAAGGCACAGAAATACCAGCCTCCTCACCGACCCACTCAGTCCTCCGAACACTCACACTCGGCACGGAAGACGAAACTCGATAATTCATCGCCTCATCACCATAACGATCCTCATTATCACGATCAATTGGGTCGTTCAAAAATCTAGTCTTGCTTCTCCATATATTCACGTTATTATCAGTTTGCGCATTTTCAATACAATACGAGATATCAAGTTCTTCGTCTTCGGACAGTGAGTGGCAGCGGCGGCGGCGGCGGAGGTTGAGGAGGCGATCGAGGACTTGATCGACGCTGCGTTTGTGGATGTAGAATGCGGAGATAGCCATTACGGAGGCGCCGAACAACGCCGCCACCGTTAGCTGAATCGGCGACACCGGCGAGAACGGTGGCTGCGGAAACATTTTTGTGTGCGGTGTGTGTGACGCAGGTTTTAGTTGGGGGTTTTGTGGAGGTGGCGGCACACAGGTTTTGCCAACTTACTACTCTGGTAAAATTCATGGATAAGATATTGATTTAGCAATTAGATATTGACTAGTGTGGGCCCCGTGAGATACACAAAAACAATATTAAATTAATAATATTATAAAAAGATCTCAAGTGGGAGTCACTCAATGGCGGAAGTGGAAACTACTATTGATCCTATTTAAAAAGAGGAAGAAAAAAAATAACTATAAATTAAAGTGAGGGATAAATAATACTTAATGATTATAAATTAAAGATTCAGAATCAAACAATGTAAAATTATTTTGTATAAAAGAAGATAAATTTTACATTATTTTGTATAAGAGAATATAAAATTTGTATTTTTAATATTAAAAACATCTAAAATATTATATTAGTATATGTAAAAGTATTCAAATTTTCTATATTATTTTTGAAAGATATGAAGTCACTTACAACTTTTCTAAACAATTTTAGAAGAAAAATATATTTAAAAATATTTGAATTTAACATTGTGTAAAAAAGATTTTTTTAAATTATTTTGTAAAGAAAACATGTCTACAAATATTTAAATTTAATATCAATTATGTATATGTGTATATGTATATATCCCCCTATATATTAATACAGAATGCGCCGAGCCTACGTGGCTGCTTCTGGTGCTTTGGAATCCTATGTGGCAAAATTACATGCTTCGTTATTAGGATTGGGTAAATTTTAATTTAATTCCAAACCAAAAATAATTAAGTTCGGATTACCATAAATATTTTGATTATTTATGGTCATGTTACATGTATTAATTGTATTTTAATATCATTCCTTATTATAACTATTGAATTGATATATATTTTAAAAGTTAATAACTTTTATATTTTTTTATCAGTTTTACATATGTAATATATCAAATTAATCATCTTTTGATAAGCTTCGATTTAACATCCATATTGTATGTATAAAAAAAAATAATTTATATTTATCTTTATAACAATAATAAAATTATTTTTAATATTAATCAGAAAAATAAATTATTTATCAACTAATATATTTATATTTCAAGTAGTTATATGATATAAGTTATAAAACTAATATAATATAACACATGTAAGTCATAAGTAACACATATCATTCTAAAATATATTAAACTAAATTTAATATAATTTTTTCATTAATTTAATATAATTTTCTCATTAATTTATATATATTAATACAGAATGCGCTGAGCCTACGTGGCTGCTTCTGGTGCTTCGGAATCCTATGTGGCAAAATCACATGCTTCGTTATTAGGCTTGGGTAAATTTTAATTTAATTCCAAACCAAAAATAATTAGGTTCGGATTACCATAAATATTTTGATTATTTATGGTCATGTTACATGTAACACCCCGCCTTGTCATAAAAATCAGAGTGCGCAACTCGCAATTTTATTGAA